TATGTACAGCTGGAAAAACTGAAACCATTTATCACACAGTATATGACTGCCCTGTCTATGAATTTGAAGATCTTAAGTTAAAGCTGGAGACTAATTTTGAGTGACTTTGCCCACTAAATATTCTATTGCTAGATATATTATGCCAATCTTTTTACTTTACAACTGAACCTATGGAAGAAAAAGCATAGTCTTCTTTAAAACCTCTGGCATCAACATTTATCCTGCACTTACAGCAACCATTGTGATATCTATTTGTATGGTACTCCTCTCACCTGCAGTGGTGCACATATTAGGAAAAGAAACAACAATAGCTAAAAACGATCAGCCAATTTCACTACTATACTTTCATACTTCAACTATTTTTATATTGACAATAATCAAATGTTGAATCATCTTATAATAGCAATGACTGTTTTTATATATCATACAATACATTGTTATGAAGTATATATGTTACAGTCAAAACCCGTTTTTAGTTAGAACGCGTTTTAACTAGTTGAAACTAGTTTATACTGAATGTCTTTGTTAAAACCCGTTCTGTCTAGTTGAAACTAGTTTATACTAAATGTCTTTGTTAAAACCCGTTTTGTCTAGTTAAAACTAGAATTTACTGCTAGTCAAAAATGAATTTGAGTTAAAACTAGTTTTAACTAGACAAAACGGGTTTTAACAAAGACATTCAGTATAAACTAGTTTCAACTAGTTAAAACGCGTTCTAACTAAAAACGGGTTTTGACTGTAACATACATAACAGAAAGAAAGCGTGGCGATCAGTCAAAAAATAACCTCCTCAAGATTTTTTCGATTATGGATACTTGACCTTGAAATGTCGAGAAATGCAAAAAACAGTTCGGGTTTTTTCCTGTATGTATGCACGTTAGTGTATGAGCAGACACGATTTTGTTCACCTAGTTTGAAGCTTAATTATTAACTCCTGTGCCTTTTGCGAAAATTTCTGTAATCTTGCTGGAAGGTTTGTATATTAGGGTATTGATGCTATTAAATATTGGTGGTTAAAGGTCAAAGAGTGAGGAGATAGAGGGGGATCGTGTGTCACATACACGCACACACACACACACGTACAGTACATATATACATTAATTAATTAACATCCATACATACAGAAACTTCTCCTAAATTTATTGCATTTCTTGACGCTTTAAAGTTCTGAGTCCAAAAATGTAAAATTCTTGGGGTCATTTTTAGATCAATTGCAATACACCAGGAAAGTGAAAATTTTGAAAACAATAGTTGTTGCATAGAACATTTAATTGAATGTTGAAGTTTACATAAATGCATTTTAATACTTTAATAAAAATTTTTAAAGCACATTTTAATTAATTAAATTAAATAAATATGTTTTAATGTTCTGAAGTCAGTAGTGTTAGAAAAGTTTTTGTTATTAAACTTAAGATGGCAATTCTTATCATGAAATTTTTACAAAACTTTTGTAAATATTTCTCTGTATTATGAATTCTGAAGAATTAGGTTGCTAAAATCAATTAACCAATATCTAACATATTACCTGAAGTAGCATAATATGAAGAATTGTTATTTAATCCAGACAACCAAGATGACAAGAAAGATTTTCCAACTCCTGCTTTACCCACAATATATACTTTATATTTGATGTGTCTTATATCTAGAGGTACATTTGGAGTTTCTAATAAACCTATATTTTAAACAGAAATAATTAATTTTTATATAAAATGGAAAAAAATATATTTTACTAGTTTTAATATAATTTTAAAGTATTCATGAATTCATATACAATAACTGAAAGTATACTTTATTAAAAACCGATTACACTTTTTATTTTTGTAATTATTTTTAAAAAGTAATTATAAAAAAAATGATTTTTAGACTGTTTACCAAATATTTTCTCTGATTTAGGATTGCCAGAGTCATTCGTGCATAGATAAAGAAATCTTCCATTTATTCCACGTTTGCAATTCATCTGTTGTGTTTCTCAATTAAGAAAACAATTATAATTTCTTTTTACAAAAATACATGAATTACACTTATAATCTTCATCTTTAATATTTATATTTAACAAAATATTAATATTTCGCCCACATTCTATATCTAACAATCATTTTATTATTTATTATTATAAATGGCATCAAACATCGTTTAAAAATTAATACAACAAATTGAACAGAATAACCACGTTTCTCTGTTTATCATTAAAAACTCCGCCCTCTGGTATCATTTCGCGACGTTAATCATTAAATTTTATTCTTAATTTTTTTTTTACAGATAATTAAAATCTGTAATTTGATATTCTAAATAAATAATTTGGAAATCCATTCATTTTTATTTTTTATTCTAATTTCTATGGTTAAAGTACAGATGTTGCACCACCTGCTAATCTACTTTCTATTACATTTCACAAATACTTTTTTCTAATTATAGGGTTATTTAAAATTTCTCTGCTCTATTATAAGTTAAAATAAAAGGTCATAGCATGAAAAAAACATATATATACTTAATATAACATATGTAGGCAGAAGTTACTTTTAAATAAAGTTTATATACAGCATATACGAATTAACTAAAAGTAACTTCTACTTGTATACATATTTTTTAATTATTCAACTGTTGTCAGGGCTGGCCATCGGGGGGTGCAGAGGATGCTATGCACCGAGGCTCCACGATTGAAGGGGCCCCAACATTATCAAGAACTAAAAGAATGTACTCTTGCACATGAAAACTTGACAATATTCCTATCGTTGTCAGTATGATGAAAAGTACATTTTATCATAAACATTATTATTGTAGATCTCTGAATTTTGACAACCTTCAAACTAATTCTTGATGATGCGAGTGTTTAGTTTTTGTTATTTGATTCGGGGAACTCCCGAAGATTCCCACCTAAATTGGACTTTTCAGAAAAAAATCTCAATACCATATAGCCCGCGTTAAGAAATGAAAATAATACTGTGGCCGTCGGCCATATAAAATTATATGTATATTTGTATATAGTCGTAGTTTTAATGTTTATTTTATAATTTCTTCTATCTCTTTTTGTCTGTCTTATTTCTGGAACTTTCTGGTGACCGTTATTGTCTCTGGGTAGGATTAGCCATTCTAAGAATCAAAGAAAACTGTTATAACTGATCTGTTGTAACTTGATCTAAGTGTCAGGTCAAAGGTAAAAATTCCTACATACTTTTTGAATATCTGAGGGAGTTCTTGTGTAGTCGTCACCCCAGTCAGTTGTATCCGAGAGTGAATAAAATCTGATTTTTCTGATATTTCCCATAAGGAACAAACTTCAATTATTATTAGGTATGTAAATTTTGAAGAGAAAAGATTAATTATAAATGAGTCATTTATAAGGTTTATTGAAGCAACTGATGTGACTGGAGAAGCACTAGCAAAAACTCTATTGAAAACATTAAGTGAGTTTGATTTAGATATTATGAATTGTAGAGGGTAGGGATACGACAATGGTAGCAACATGAAAGGGAAATATAAAGGTGTACAATCTAGAATAATTGCTCTAAACCTTCATGCAATATATGTGCCTTGCCTATCACACTCTTTTAATTTATTAATTTGTGATGCCGCTTCCAGAAGTATATATTGTAAAAATTTTTGGGGGATATTGCAACGTTTATATTGCTTATTTTCTGCATCTACAAAGAGATGGGAAATTCTAAAAAAGCATTTAAACATTACTCTTAAACCATTATGTGACAGTCGTTGGGAAGCCAAAATAGATTCGGTTAAAGTAGGGTATACACAGTTTGAACAAACTTGTAATGCCCTAGAAGCATTTATTGATATAAGTAACGATAATACAGCGGTATCCGAAGCTAAAAGTCTATTGGATTCAATACAAGAAATGCCATTTATTTTATGTTTAATAGTATGGTTTGCAATGTTGTCTAAAATTAACGCTATCAATATACTATTTCAAGCGAAAACAATTATTCTTGAGTCGGCTTTTAATTTAGTCAATAAAATTAAAACTGAAATCCAAAATTTAAGAACAAAATTTAACACATTTTTAGACGAAGCAAAAGTGTTAGCACGTAATTTGAATATTTCAGAACATTTTCCTGAAAAACGAATACGAAAAAGAAAAAGGTTATATTCCGAAATAGCAGAAGATGAAGTTATAGAAAACCCGGTAGAGGAATTTAGATGTTATTTTTTTAACACTGTAATTGATATTGTTATTGTACAAATAGAAGATAGATTTAAAAGTATACCAAATATTATTTCTGATTTCAAATTAATCACTGATATGAAAACCTTAGAAAAACATGAATTAGAAAAATGTTCCAAAAACTTTGTAAAGTTTTATAACAAAGATGTAGATGAAAACCTAATCCAGGAAATTGGTTTGCTACGGGATTTGATTTTGAATGAAAGGGATGTAAATAACGCACAAGACATATGCAATACATACTAAATAATAATTATAATGAGTTATTTCTAAATGTATTAACTGTGTTAAAACTTTTCTTTGCGTTGCCAGTTACTATAGCAAGTGCTGAGCGCTCTTTCAGCAAATTAAAATTAATAAAGAATTATCTTCGATCCAGCATGTGTGCAGAACGCTTAATGCATTTGCTATATTAAGCATCGAAAAAGAAATTGCAAAAATTATAATTTTCCTGAAGTAATTCATGTATTAGCAAGAACAAAATCACGCTTTAAATAAACATGCATTAGTAATATATGTTCGTGTTTGTAATTTTTTTTTACTTTACAAAAAATTTAGGGTCCAAATAGTTTCTTGCACCTGGGCCCCTTTATAGAGAAGACCAGCCCTGACTATTGTCCATTCATACACAATATGAAACTTTATTAAAATGATTTTATAGTACTTATTAAAAATAAAATAATCAAATCTCAATTATCATTCATATTATTTCAAAAATATGTATAAAGTATGTTTAATAAATTAGTTTAAACATATTCAAATTTTAAATATTTTTGCATTAAATTTAGTTTTTGATATTCAAAAATTTATAAAATGTGCTTACCTCCATACCCGATAGATTTTCAAAGAAGAATAAAATGAAACGTTGATAACAACAATAACATATATCATCACCTTTTTGATAAACCCACGATGGTAAAACAAGTGAAAAAAATTTCCATACGAGCCATAATAAATAATATGGTGGAGCTGATCCAATTATAATAACTGCAGGAATTATCATTCCGAGTTTTTTCTTGCTGTAAATAGAAATATCCATTGTTACTAAAATTTAAAAAATGCAAGTCGCTTCTGTTTTATGCGTTTGGTGATTTTCACTTTCGCGGTAATAAACGTGTTTAGAATATTACTGATACCAACTCGTTCAGTGAGACAAATAGCTGAATGAGTTCATGACACGTGACATTCCCAATATATTCATAAAGGCAAGCATGTTATGCTTATAATATTATGATTGTAGTCAGATTTCATCAGAATACGCCATTGGTTGACAACAGTACAAAGCGTCGTTAAATTAACATACTCGAGACTAGGCACCTCGAACTAGTCATGAACAATTCTGTGATTCTGCACTCGAAATGATTCGTTACTGTGGTTTCTTAATATCAGTGATTTTAATGCATGTGATCACAATTTTCTGACGGAAATGAGAATATTTCCGATTTTTAAGGTTAACATTATTGTTAATTGCAAGTATTCTTAAAATGACTGAACACATGTTTTAAGCTGGGTATCCACTTACAGCCCGGTCTCATTAAACACGCATCGAAACGTCACCGTTACCATGACAACTACGTTCCGGGCAGCCGTTCGTTTCTCACGAAAGTTGATATACGTGCGAGTCTAATTGACTCGCACGCTAAACACGCTCCTTCAAACACGCGTGATCAATAAATAGAACGATGCTTTTTTCCTTAGAAATGTTACATTCGAAAACACATGTACAAGTTTAATTCATTAAGAACAATTACTTTTACAGCTTGAGAAGTAAATGCGTCGGCTCCTCTCATTGGTCGAATGACTGAAATGCTTCGAGCGTATGGTTGGCTACATTCATACTTTTACGTCAACATATGAAGAGAATAGAGGCATGGATTCATGCGTTTATGCATATAAACGCTTAGGACAATAAAGAGCGTCTGTTGTGTACTCGCAGTGGTGAGATTCGGGTGCAAACCGATTGCGATTTTGAAATAAGCATGCATAGATTACACCACTTCCTTTTTGCCGTATCGCTGCTTAATGATGGGCGATAAACGTAAGGTGATCAATCAATCGGCACATCGAATGGGGCACAAAGCATTCGATATTCTATCAAATAATTAATTATTTGCGAACTTATTAAATATTTTTAAAATAGAAAAAAGGTAAAACAAAAAATATATTGCACTTTTAACATACGGTGCTATTTTCCGAAGTCATATTTTTAAATAATTTTTTTATATTTTTTGTAGGTGAATTCACTATATGATGAGTTTATCCACTCTTCAGATTAAGCGATTCCTGTTATTTATTTATTTATTGTTGTGTGTGTGTGTGTGTGAATCGTATTTAAAGTTATCCTCTCTTTGAGTATCGATGTTCCAACCAGAACATCGATACTCAATAGATTGAGTATATATAGCTCCAATCTCAACTTTGTATTTTTCTTAAAAATCTAATGGATTGTCTTTTTTTTTCTACTATCGGTGTTTACAAGAATTCAACATAGAAACATTCTATTAATCGAATTTTTGCCAAAACGATTAAACTGTCAGCCTGTGCTTGACTCTGGAGTCCGGGCAGTCGAAAAAATCCCCAATAATTTTTCGGAGGGTGATATGTTCCGGATATGTCGAGTCCCATTCCTCATCACTCAGCCGTTCTGTTGCGAGCCTGACCGAACTCATAATGGTCATGGTAAAAGGCCTTCTTAGTGCCCACTGGGCAGAGAGTTACAAAATATCAATAAATTAAAAATTAGTCGAATGTATTCATCACGGGTATTTTACTAAAAATCCGTATTTGTTACATCGAAAATTGTACATTAAAGTTATTACTGTATTATCGAATATAAATTGATCAGTAGAAAGTTATGATGCAAGTAAATACTTATTGTTTTGAAATGCCTGTGAAGTACAGAGATTATTTACTGGACTCATATTTCCAAATTAGGCTACAATAAAATTTGCCATTTTCTGGTCTGTGGCTGTTTCTTTTCCTTATCACTAATAATTCGATTTTCGTGACAGTGGTAGTCTATAAATGATTGATTACTTAAGTCCACAGTTTTGCTCATTACAGGCAGGTTGGGTTTGCAATAGGGTCAACCGGATGATATATTGTATACTGTCAGACACCTTATGAAAAAATCTTAAGGTTTACGGAATTTAATGGGCAGTTAAATATAATGATCATATGAAGGCTTTCTAAAAACGTATAACTCTCCTGTATTTTTTTTATTCTAAGTAATACTGTAACTACAGTATAACATCATGTAGGTAGAAAGATTCAGCGTATTTAGCTAACGTCTGTACTTGAAGTTGTTCGCATCAACTTGAAAATATTTGAATTTTAATAATTTATAAAAATTATGTAAAATAATCCTTAATTTTTATGCTTATTATTGTATCCATAATATATCTTAGCATAAATATTGTTATATATACAATTAAATTATACTATAATTAGACTAAAACTTTTCTGAATAATCAAGAATCAAATCACTTTCAACTGGTTTTGCATTAAAATAACGTGACTTCCGATTAACTATACGAACTTTCGGTCTCACGAAAGTTCGTATAGTTAATCGGGTCTTCCTACCAGAGCTTTCTATATCTGGTCTTGACTTTCATGTATCTAACTCCGTTTTTGAAATTAAGGAAGGACAGACAGTCGGACAACAGTGGGAATTTGTAGGTCTACAAATTTTTTAAATTGCAGTCCAAAAATATGTTAATTTCAAAATAATAAATTAATTGAACTAACATATTCACACATGTTAAGTACATTAAAAAAAAAGGTATATGAAATTCAGAACCAAAATTTTTATTTTAACTTTATTAATTCATATTATAGTTATATGCAATACTACGTAAATATTCTATTCTATTTCCCTACTGTAGCTTAAAGACTACAATAGGGAAATAGAAAAGATGATGAAGACTACAATAGATGACTAAAGGATTTTGAGAAAAATCCTTTAGTCATCTTCATCGTCTTTTCTATTTCCCTATTGTAGTCTTTAAGATGACTAAAGGATTTTTCTCAAAATCCTTTAGTCATCTTCATCGTAACGTCTACTTTATGCTGATGTTGTAAACCTGTTACTGCTCTTCTTAATCAACATCATATATTTTTTGAATTTTTCGTAGTCATCTTAAAAATCCATAAATTTGGATGACTTGTGATTTATATTTATTTTACCAATGTTAAAAAACACCGCCAAATCGTAAACGTGCATCTGTCGCCCAAGTTTAAGCATCTGTCGCGCCAAAATTTTAAGCATCTGTCGCCCAAGTAACCCTCGCCCACTTGACTATCGCCCAATGTAAATCGCCCAGTTATAGCGTTACCTTGCACTCTATGTTGATCACTGCAAACATCCGATGATTTGCCGCAAACCGATGTGCAATTATGTTACATTAGTGACAAATCAAAGATTTTATTGACCTAATTCGAACAGTTAGAGTTATGCATACTTGTATTACATGATTTACTGCTCAATGTACAGTACTGTATATTCTATATTCTGTAGCAGGGGTGTTAAATGACTTCCCCTCCTGTATATATATAAAGTAAATAAAACAACTTTAATCAAAAACGTAAGTATTTTATTTCCGTAAACGAAAAAAAAACTTTAAGTTAATTTTGAATGTTACAGTTTTGAAGCAATTTTTTTGTTTCAATATATACGAGGGGTGTTCAAAAAGTATCGGATCTTTGGTCGGCAAAAATACATTTATTGATTTTGAAGTACAAAACCCTAATCCCCTTCAAAGTAGTCTCCTTGGTAATGTATATACTTCTCCCAGCGCTCCTGCCATTGCTGGAAACACTGCTGGAACGCATCTTTTGGAATGGCCATCAGCCGGTCCGTCGCATTCCGCATGATGTCGTCTCTTGACTAAAATCTTGACCTTTTAGCGGCATTTTCAGCTTGGGAAATAGCCAAAAGTCACACGGAACCATGTCGGGAGAGTACGGAGCGTGACGAACCACAGGAATGTTGTGTTTGGCGACGAAAGTTCGAATCAGATGCGCAGAAGGGTGGGTGCGTTATCATGATGGAGCTGCCAAGTTTTGGTTGACCACAGATCCGGTCATTTGCATCGCACAGCATCACAAAGACGACGAAGGACCTCCTGGTAGTACTCCTTTGCGATGGTTTGGCCTTGTGATGCGTACTCACGATACACCACCCCACGGGAGTCGAAAAAACTGTCAACATGATCTTGACATTGCTGCGGACCTGCCGCGCTTTTTTGGCCTCGAGGATCGTCCCCGAAAGCCTGCTGAATCTTGCGAATGGTTTCCGCTTGGGTATCGCCAAGCTTTTGGCAAAATTTGATGCAATATCGCTGCTCACGTTGTTCAGTCATTTTCCAACTTAGTGGAATTCGACGAGCGCTCACTACACATCCTCACTCATAGGTCGACTGCCAGCGACTGACGTTTCCTGCAGGCTGGAAAAAATTCAGGGCTGTGCATGTCTGTCCCCTCCACAACTCCACCGAAAGAGACCTCCCGTGCATCATTGGTTTACGCGGGAAAAATAAAGGTCCGATACTTTTTAAACATCCCTCGTATATATAGAAGATAAACGAAAATTACACGTTTTTTCGATATACATCCATCTCTGACGACGGAAAAATGCGTTCTGTGCGTCATTTCACAGTATACGTGTATTTATTTTTGCAGTGGGGTCCCGGCGCCACAACGGCATCTTACGTTTAAAAATAGGATGGTTGTACCGGGCCTTAATGGAGATCTTCACATTTATCGTAATTACATCATTTACAGATTGAATATAACATAATACAAGAAAGTACAAAGTTAATTTTTTAAAGTTCTGTTTTTACTTTCCCAACTGTTAAAATAACATAGGGAAGTAAGGTAATCGGTCAAATTTTGACCCCTCCATTCTTTTTTCTTCTTTACATTTCTCCACGTGTAGACACTTAAAACTAAAAAAAAAATCTTACAAAATTCTGTCTGAGAGGAATCTATTTTTCAATATGTCTAAGGACTCCATAGACCAAAAATTTTGAAATTTGGCAAGAATATGTCTGTATATGGGCACTGATGCTAATGCTATTATATTTTGGAAATTACAGTATAAGTCAAGAGGAGGGGAGATAGAAAGGATTAGAGCAGGGGTGGCCAACAGTTTTTGCCCCCCGGGCCGAATTGGAAAGAAAACTTTTTCTACGGGCCGAACCTGAGGTTGCCCTAGGAAGATTTTGAGGTGGTGCAAGATCTCATTGTGGTGTCACCTCGTAAAGACTGAATTGTAGATAGAGATTACAGATACATATTTCACATTACCATGCATTATCAACATTCTACGCTGTGGTGAAGACATGTGTAATGGAGCGTTAACTCTGGACGCACAGTTAAGTGTTGACCTTTTTTTTTAGGCGTCAGAATTTTTCATCGAGCTATTCGGAATTGAGTAGCTAATATTGAAAGATTGATCGCGGGCCACACAAATTCATTGGACGGGCCGAATCTGGCCCGCGGGCCGTATGTTGGCCATGCCTGGATTAGAGAGTCATATCTCGAACGGAATCATACTTAATAAAAAAAATTGGTTGTTACTGGCATTTACGATTTTTAAAAACTCACTCTTATCTCCAAAACATAACTTTACCTTTTTATTACTTACAAAATTACTATTACCTTTATTACAAAATTACTATTTAAAATTTTTAAATAAAATTTCTTAACAGATGGCGCTACAAGCAATTTTATTAAGTTAAATATT